ACCAAAATAACAGAGGGAACACACCAGTACTAGTAGCTGTCTGATTTTTCAGCCTCATGACGAGAAGCCGGGGGTTTTGTCAGTGGTAGCAGTTTTCAGTACAATGTGTGTGTGTGTACATGCAACAATGAAGATGTTGCACGGCCTTGCAAAAAGCCATCTTTTGAAGATCTGACTGCATCCGAGCTGCCAGCGTTGCTGACAGACTGCTTTCAGTCAGCAGCGAGGCAAATACCAGTAGCTGTCTATACAAATTGGTGCTATCAGGAGTTGAGCACACGTCACACAAAAGCCTAGTACAGAAATCTCATTTCTAGATACAGCTCGTCAGAGATGTGTCCGCTTCCATGGAACTCTGAGTGTGCAGCAGGGCAGATGGTGCTGCAGGATGGTGGCCGCCCTGCCTTGTCTTCTTGCCTCAATTCTAACAGTGCTTTTTAGGTGATTTTGTTTCTATTGCAAGAATGGTTTAACTCTTCTGTATCTTTGTGAGGCGAAGAATATGTTTACAAACATTGTCAAATATAATGCAGTGTTATTAGTCTACTCCAGAAAAGTGAAAATATTCTTACACAAACATGTTATCCTTACATGCCGATTTTTCTCTCTGCATGTTGTACTGATGAGTTCTATATTAACAAAGTTAAGTAGATAAATTCTGGTAACTGAACCATTTTCATAATAATTGTGAATCTTTGAACACATCAGATATTGGAAACGAAATACTTTCCCTTCTTCCCTCTAGCAAAATCTTATTTATCTAGGATCATCTGTTTCATCTATTAAAGCTTATGAGTAGGTGGCTTACAATGAAAAATGATGGTTAATATTATAAGAATGTTCAATCTTGTAAATGCATTTTGACAGGCTTTGATGGCTCAAAATCAGTCTTTGTATTCAGAATGGATTACCAGATTTATTTAGTTGCCCCAGTGTGCTTTTGAGTTGTTTATGCTTTGTAAGTAAATATTTTGCTTATTTATACCAAAAGCAGTTGCAGCTAAATACTTAGAGAGGTATTTTCAAAAGTGCTTGGCAGCTTTTAAAGCTCCCGCTAAAGCCGTGATGAGATTCCCACTGGGAAACAAAGGCCAGTGTGAGCACATATGAAAAACTTCTATCCTTAATTCTTCGCAGGGAAACAGAAGAGCTACAGTTCAGCATCAGGCATTAACATAAGTGCAACCACCTGGAGGTTTATTCATGGATAAAACAATGGAATTTATCTTTGTATCCTTTGTTCTTTATTCATGCTGGAGTAGCGAAGCAAGCTGGCATTAGGATTCAGTTCACGTAGATTACTCCTGTTTCCATGTTCCACTTTTAACTGGTGCCCGTGTGGTTTACTGTGAGATGCTGTACCTGATTAGGCAACTGGATTATCCCAGATACTGCACTAAAATTTCTCCCATAAAGATTCTGAAGATGCAGACAAGTGGCATCACGGGGCACAAAACAGGTGGACCAGGAGAACTGTTGGATATTTTATGTGCAGACTCTCCATGGGGAGCCCAGATGTGTGTTGGTAGGTGGTGTGGTGACAAACTATCTCTATCCCCAGAAGAGCTGTTGGTGCTTGGCTGGTGCTGTGACCCATGTCCCATCTGTCAGCATGGATTTGCAGGGCCTGTGGAGTTACCTGGAAATGAATTGTTCACCAGTTCATTATGGTATATCAGATTAATTAAATTGTTGATGGCAGTAAAATTATCCAAAAGGAAGGAATCCTGTAATGGCTTCGTTTCAAGGGTCAGTATTTGCAGAGTTCCTGTTTTGTAGTAGTGTGTGTATTGAGGTTTCTAGCAATGTGTAAAACCATCTTAGTACTCCTAGCTTATAGTGTGTTTGCTGGAAGAGATACAGAAATAGGCATTTCTATAGATTCCTTCACTTGGAAGTCATCTACCATTTCTGCTACTTTAATCTGAACTCATAGTGTGTACTCAGTTAAAAAAAAAAAAAATCACAATTTCATGGGTTTCAAGGCACAAAAGCCCTCAGTTGTCATCTGTGCTGATCTGACGAGTTGATGGATGGCTATCGTGGAATCACTTGTCAGCAATCTGCAATTTTGCAGGAAATTGTGGAATTTTTCCTTCTATCTGTCTGGCTGTGATTAAAATACTGTCTCTGCTTTATACTTATCCATTAAACCAAATTTGTGCAGGTGTAATTTCCGAAGCAAATGATCCTGAAACTTTTAAATCAACGCATGCCATCATTTTCTCATTTGCAGTCCCTTCAATAGTTTTTGGATTTTTTTTTTTAGTAAAGTTTGGGGGTTCATTTCAGTTTTACCCAGTAAAGCTGGGTAAAAAGCTGAAATAATGGTGTGTAATCTTGTGGGCATGGAGCACTTGCCAGGCAGATTACTAGAAGTAAATGGTGACTCACCTTAACTTTTAAAACAGATAATTTGCTGGTTGGTTGGTGTTTTCTGCCAGCTGGTCACATAGTTTCTCTGGAAAATGTTATTTGCAACTATCAAAATGAACCATTTTATAACGTCAGAGTGGAATATTCTGTCAATCTGTCTTAGCTGCTCCTTCAAATGGCACTGAATTTGCTAAATGGCTACCATGATTATCTAGATAACCTTTGAAGGCTATGGTTAGAGAATAGATTTTAATCTTTTATTTGAGCAGACGTTGCTATCAAAGCATCTCAGTGGCAGTATCAGTGTGAGTGTAGAGAGTGATGATGCTATAAGTTTTACCCCAAAGTTAACCCCATATGCATAAATTAGCAAACTGGCAGAAGTAGTGCCTAAGAGAAGCAATTTTGTGGGCAGTGGTGTGAGACAAGAGACAAAGTTATCTCAGGTTTTGCCTGTTTGTTCTATTATACATCAAGCAAAGTGGTAGCAGAGAGGTGCTACTTCAGTCAGCAACAAGGGAAAAACAAGTAGTTTGTTGCAAAGCCACTACTCCCAACCCACAAACACCGTTAAGTCACCTGATAAGCTTTAGAGCTGATTTAACTTACTACTTTTTTGTGCATTCAAAAGCCATCTGACTGTCTCTGTTTCTGCTAAATACTGTGAATTTATGTTTTTGCTCTTTATGAATGAGTGTAGAGTGTAAAAAAAGAAAAAAAAATAAATTCAAAAAACCAAACACCCACCCCCTACACACACCTTACTATGGTAATTCTTTTGGAGCACATTGATGAATGTTTTGTTTGTTGTTGTTTTGAAGTTATGAGAACTCCCGTGGGAAAACTGATAGTTCATGAGTCACAGGACTAGAATCTGTGCCATAGCAATTTCTTGGGGTTTTTTGTTTGTTTTTATAACCTCTAGGTAAGGTGAGTTTTGAGATTTGGACATGTAATACTGTTTTCTCATCAGTTCCACCATTGCAATGTACTCTTATGCCTAGTGATTAACAGGCAAATAACAAAAGTAGATGGTAGTTTGTCTGTTCTATACTGAAAAAGTCAGGAGGGCTTTCTCTGCTGGTTTTGTATGTATTTTTGAAGTAAGTTATTTTGGTAGGAGCCTTCAAAAAACTTTGGAGCTATTACTAGAGTTTTGAACATGATAATGTTCACGAGTGATGCTGTTTCAGTAGTTTTGCATATTAAGCTTCTTCCTTTACGTGAATATCTAGCTTTTGTCCCACAGCCTGATCGAGCTCTGTGGCAACTGAGAGTTAACTTTAGTGTTTTCCTGGACATGCTGATCAGATGTATGAGGGCAAACAGCCACATTGATGGGAGAGTTACTGAGAGCTGGTTTGCTTTTGTCCTTTCTTCAGCAGGTACCTGAACAACAACTGTTTTTCCCTCTGTTTCCTTAGAACTGCTCTGTTGCTTCTGTTTCCAGATTCCGTTTTACACATTTTCATTTCCTCTTCTGACATGCAATGGGATGTTTCTTTGTCTTTGATCTTCATTTTTCTTTAGAAGTCCTTCAGTTTCTGAGGCAGAAAAATAAATGTTTCCAATTCTAACTAATTGAATGTGCCTTAGCAATTCTGTCCTCCTTCCCCTCAAATTGTGCCTGTGAGGGCATGTGCTGGGAATTGTAAGATGGGTGTTACGATGTGCTATTAGTGTGGTGACAGGAGCCAGTGATGTCTGGGGATGTGGATGCGCTGTCCCATGTTCTGCACACCAAAGAGTTGTGATGACAGTTATAAATGATGAGGTGCAGTTAGTGCTGTGTGTGCCTGAAGGGAGCAGCTCCAGGTGGGATGGAAATGGGGAACAGTCAGTATGAGTGAGCTAGAGATGCTAAACTGTGTCTGGTGTACCTCAGTGTAACCCTGAGGTCTGGCAATGAAACCAACCGAAGGACCTCTTGGCTTTATTGGAAGTGCTAGTAGTAGACATGTGCTGGTTTTGGCTGGGATAGAGTTAATTTTTTTTCACAGTAGTTAGTACAGGGCTTTTATGTTTTGGATTTGTGCTAGAAACAGTCTTGATAATACAGGGATGTTTTCGTGTGTGCTTACACAGTCAAGGCCTTTTCTGCCTCTCACACCACCCCATCAGTGAGTAGGCTGGGAGTGCACAAGAAACAGAGAGGACACAGCTGGGACAGCTGACCAAAGGGATATTCCATACCATATGACGTTGTGCCCAGAATATAAAGCTAGGGGAAGAAGGAGGAAGGGCTGGACGTTTGGAGTGATGATGTTTCTTCCCAAGCAGCTATTCTGTGTGATGGAGCCCTGCTTTCCTGGAGATGGCTGAACACCTGCCTGCCCATGGGAAGGAGCAAATGAATTCCTTGTTTCACCTCCTTGCACTCATGGCTTTTGCTTTACTTACTTTTGCTTAACTGTCTTTATCTCAACCCACGAGTTTTCTTACTTTCATGCTTCTCTCTCCCCAGCCCACAGCGGGGAGGAGTGAGCGAGCAGCTGTGTGGGGCTTAGCTGCCTGCTGGGGTTAAACCACAACACATGGCTTGAAGAAATAAACACTGGTGGTGGAAGAGCTGCCTGAAGTCTTGGAAACTTCCTGCATGTTTTGGGTTATATGGCTCACCGCACCAGAAGAGAGAGCTGTTCTTTGAGACTTGATCTTCTCATCTGCCTGTGTATATGTGTCCCATCCGCTCAGGTATACTGAGGAGGTTCATGCAGGGATTAGGTGTGACGGCAACTAAACACCATGCAGCTGCTTGCTCACCCCTGGCAAATGCAGAAGAGAGGGGAAAAGGGAAGGAGACTCGTGAGTTTGAGATAGGAACAATTTTACAATAATACTATATTAAAAATAATACGGATAAAATAATAATTATATATGAATATATATATATATATATTGATAATAATATACACAAACAAGTGATGCACAGTGGAATTGCTCACCACCCGGTGACTAACGCCTGTCCCATCCTGGTAAATGATCCTAAATAAGGTAAGTCCTGACATGGCAATCCTGGATGAGCAAGAGGCCTGAAAAGAGAGCGGGAGAACTCTCAAGAGTTTGAGATCCCTCAGAAGAGAATTCCCAACTTCCCCATCAACCCTCATCTATATAGTGGGCATGACGTTGCATGATACGGAATAATTCATTGGCCAATTTGTCTCTCAATCCTAAATGTAAATTCAAGTCACTAGAGGAGTTGTGGAGCCTTTATCCCCCCATGCTCCCCCAGCCCGTGGTGCTCCTGCACGCTCGCTCCAAGGGCGAGATGGGAAGCCCTTGATGTCTCAGCGCCAGCTGTAAACATCGGTGCGCTATCAACATGCTTCTCGTAACGAATCCCCGACTAAAACCAAAACACAGAGCTCCTCCAGCTGCTAAAAAGAAAAACTAACTCTGTCCCAGTCCAAACCAGCACCAGGTCCTGTGAGCGCGGGGCTGCGGGGAGCGCCGGCGGCGGTGCGCCGCTGCCCCCTGCTCACGTGCTCGTTCCGCGGATAGACTCTGCGGGTGACTTGACTTTTTTAAAAGTGTGGAACGCTGAGAGTACGTGAAAACCCTCAAGAAGGGTTCAGGGTTGTATTAAATGCGATGAAAAAGAAGCCCGGGATCGGGGCTGGCTGTCTTTTGCTGCCAGCCCTTTGCACTCAAACTGCAGAACTTTGTTTGATGCCAAAGAGCAGAAGGGTGTGGGGTGGCCGTTAGAAGGAACACTGTTATTTGGAGTTTAAAACTCCTGGTTCAGCTGTTTAATCAAAATATTCCACAAAACATGCAACATATTATTAATATACAAAATACACAATGGATTTACAAAATAGCTGGTGAATCTTAATTTATTCAAAAAATATAGAATCATAGAATGGTTTGGGTTGGAAGGGACCTCAAAGATCATCTTGTTCCAACCCCCCTGCCATGAACAGGGACATCCTCCACTACACCAGGTTGCTCAAGGCCTCATCCAACCTGGCCTTGAACACTTTCAGGGATGGGGCAGCCACAGCTTCTCTGGGCAACCTGTGCCAGTGCCTCACCACCCTCAGAGGGAAGAATTTCTTTCTTAGGTCTAATCGAAATCTCCCCTCTTTCAGTTTAAAGCCATTGCCCCTTGTCCTGTCACTACGTACCCTTGTAAAAAGTCCTTCTCCAGCTTTCCTGTAGGCCCCCTTTAAGTACTGGAAGGCTGCAATAAGATCACCCCGGAGCCTTCTCTTCTCCAGGCTGAACAGCCCCAACTCTCTCAGCCTGTCTTCATAGGAGAGGTGCTCCAGCCCTTGGATCGTCTTCGTGGCATATAAAAGCACCTGAATGCCTATCTTTAAATAATTAATGATAATTGGAATTGGAGTTTATTGTGTAACTTTGACACATGAATATTTCAACTTGAGACTCACATAATTCAATTTCCCCATCCGCATCCCTTCTTCCTCCTTGATAAAATAAATATTTTCATTAGTCTCTACTTTGTTTTCAAGGTCACTTCCTGGAACGACAGCAGCTGAGTGTGCATCAAATCTGAAGAAGATTTATACAGTACAGACAGTACAGGTAAGGTGTATAGCTTTGCTGTAGGAGTTGCCACATGTTATTGGTGTCACTTCACACCTTAAGTTTCATTTTTCCTCATATGGCTGAATCATAGTTACAGCTTTGCTTACCTGTAGTATGAAATGTGGGTGTTACTGGTTGTGTGTGGTATTAGTCATTGTTTGAATTTCATTTGGCTTTCCAGGCCAGGAAGGGAGGAAGCGTATTGGATTGATCAGACATGCCTGCTCTTCTTAAGCTTTCCTGAGTTTCCACTTGACCCTCCATTAGATTGTTACACTTGATATCTTCTGAATATTTTTCCTACCTTTTTTCCTTTATTTTTTTTTAATGCATAAAATAATTACACAAAGACTAAAAATTACAGCTTGTGGGTTTTTTTCTTTTTTTCCCTTCTTAAGCATGAATTAAAAAAAAAAAAAATCTAGCAAACTGACTTGAGTTAAAGTGCTTTTAAATTATGCAGTACTTGCAGCAATGAGAAATTCTGCATGTCTTTGCCACCTGCCAGTGCCAAGCAGTGGGCATCTCTGGCAAGTAAAATTGCGTTTTTGTTTTAATACCACAGTTAGCATGGAGTGTAGTGAATTGGTATTTGTCTCACCTTAATGCTAAGCTGACTGTAGTTCACTAAATCTCTGAAATTCTACAGCAGTGCCAATACGGTCTCTCTGAAGGAGCCCAGCCATAGTGATCTCCTGAAGTTTTAAATAAGGCTTTCTCATTACCGTCTGCACAACTTGTTGCATTGCATGAGATGTTTCTTCCCAGCTAATTGGCCTAAGAAATTAATTGGCTTTTGGAGTTTTCTGGGAATGAGCTTATTGTTGGAAGTTCTTTGACATTAAAACATGGAAGTGTCCTTCAGACCCTTGGGAGAGGTTCCCTCTCACCTCTTTGTCAGCAGAATGTCCCCATTGGTCATGCAATGAAGTGACACTCTGAAGTTGACAACAAAAGTCAGTTTGTTTCAAAATGGGCTGCAATGGTTCTTGTTGAAAAAAGGACAGCTTAAGACCACGGACTGGTGTACACAATATCTGGTGTTACCTGTTTTCCTACTCTGAATCTAGCCTTAATTATTTAAATGGTTAGGTTTTACTGACTGAAAAACTTGAGGTTTTCTTCTCATCAGGATGGGGTTTAAAATACAAAAAACCTGCTTCAGGTCCTCTGGGAAGACTCATGATCTGGTTGAGGTTATCAGAAGCTAGCAGTGTGGCTCATGATGTGTCCATCATGTGCATAATATGATCTTCCTTGGAGAAGCAAAACCAAAGTTTGCATTGACTTCATCACTATCCTTCATGGGTAGTAGCTAGTCAATGAGGAATGCCAGCCTGCACCGCCTGGAGAATGTTTGAAAACCAAAACCTCCAAACCAAGTCCCTGGTTCAGGACACGAGCTCTCAAATATTTCTACAGCCATCTGCCAGCGTAGCTCTGCTCCTCCTACTTCTGTCAGTAGCTCCAGGGTTTGGGCACACAACCAGGTTAAGAGTAAAATGAAAGCTGAAACGGGTGTTTCATATTGATATTTTAAAATAGTCTTCCATCTCTTCTTATGACTGGGTAATGATGGTGGCGGGTAGGTTCGATTGCCAAGGGCCACAAAATTTTATCACGTGATGTTGCAATATTTGTTTCTAAAGTTGTGCTAATGATTAAATATTAGGTAATACTTAATGAGTTGTACTAATGCTGAGTATTGCATCACTGCAAGTTGATGCAACATAAGGCTTTAAAAATCCCTTCTTATTCCCAGCTATTGGATAAAAAAGAAAGGGGATTGGGGTCTTGTCAGTCATCCCTCCCTGTTGCTCACCACTGCTTTTGGGTGCCTTTTAACCATCCCAAAGAGGTATGATAGCTTCTGCTTCAACTAGCAGAAATTCTGGGAAGTAATCTCATGGCTTCTGGTAACTTGGATCTTCTAATCTTTCCCCCTGTATTAATTCCTGTATTAATATGTACATCTGAAGCTCTTTGCATCTGGTTGAAACTTTTCACTGTGATCTAGACAAAGTGGTTGGATTGCTAGTTAGGCATTTAGCTCAACAGGATTATTGCTTGTGGTGGTTTTGTAACTCAGGATAAACATAATAAAGTTTTAGACTAGTCTTAAGTGAAACAAGGTGGGTATTTGATATAAGTATGTATTTTCAATATGCTAAGAAAGTTTTATGTACTAGTTTGTTCCAACATACTTAGTGTAACTGATTTTGATGATTTTTTTTTTTCCTCTATTCCTCAGGACTTTGATTCTAAAGTAATCCACAGTTCAGCTGCTTCTCTTCTTTCTACCTCCACCTTACGTAGTACATGGTATCTAAAAAAAGAATTGCAACGAGTTCTTTTCAGAACATTTTGTTGTAATGTAGAAGGTGACAGTTCTCTAGGAGTAGGATGTGTAATAGTTTTAGAGAAAATGAACAAGGAAGTAAATCTGCATGAAACTTACTCTCTTGCCTTAATGCAATTAGTATTTTCTCTTTTTAAGGATTTCTGGAGTGTCTACAACAACATTCCTCCTGTGACAAATCTGCCTCTGAGATGTAGTTACCATTTAATGCGGGGAGAAAGACGGCCGCTTTGGTACGTATGTTATCGTTAGACATTTCTGGGAATGGGCAGTGAAAAAACCTGAAGTGGTGAAAGGAGACAGGTGTGAGACAGGAGTGTTTTGTTTCTGCTGCCTGCAAATACCTGAACTTGAGACCTACGAAAGAAATCTCCTAAGGATCTTGTTAAGCTTAAAAGTGACTTGTAGTAAAGAGTCTTTATTAAAAACATAGCCTGTAATTTAACTGTCCACCTCTGAACATAAATGTAAGAAAGAAATTGAATTATGAAATAGCAATTAAGAAATTATAATATGCTTTTGAATTTCAATTCAAGAATACACAGGAATACGTTACTTGTATTTGAATTATTTTTAACTTGTAAATTTTTTTATTGCCACTAAAGCTGGTGTAATAATGATGCAAATGACTGATGGTCCGTAACTTTTCTTCACCTGTGCAAAAGCAGACAAATGTGCATATACCTTGGATTAAAAAGAATTTAAAGCATTATGAAGTGATTCATTGCAGCAAATTCCTACCGAATTGTAGGATAGTAATGGAATAAAGTATAAATCATTGAGGTTTCTCCTTTCAGAAATTGAGTTTTGCATACTTCCTTCATGGTGCAGGTCCGTCACATCTCAGTTAGAGAGCCTACACAGTTTCTGAAGAGTTTTGATCTTTTTGGCATCGTTTGCATAGATTGTGATTGGGTTAGAGTTCTTTGACTTGATTGTAGTATGTGTAACTGGGTGGTGATTTACTACAGGGGGGTTTCTGTCCGAATGCACTGAACAAGTAAACAATTTTCTAAAGTGAAATGCATCTGCAGGTCTACACTGCTTTTGTGAAAATACTGTGACTGGTCAGGATGACTAAACTGGATTTGAAAAAATGCTGGTGTTCGTATAAGTCAGCTGGGCCATTGTGTGCAGGTCTTCCTATCTTTGTAAGGGTGGGTGAGAACATTTTGGGGTTTGTTTGGTTGTTTTATATATTTTTGGTTTTGATTTGGTTAGTGACTATTAGAGGTGTGAAATGCGAAAGACCTCTTCTAAAAATGATACATCTATTTTAAGACTGTCAAAGTAATTTTGTATTTTAGGAAAGGGATTGCAAGCAATTCATCTCTTCAGTACCCCACTAACTTTTCAGTAATTACTACCAAGAAGCTTTTCTCAGATTACAGTTACAGTATACTGGCTAATTGCAGCATTGTTTTTTAAGAAGGAAAACAAGTTCTGAAGTAGGAATTGATGACTGCAGACTTTTGAAGATGTCCTTCCAAATTTTTCCCTCTCCTTTCCCCAGTGTTTGTCTGGATTGGTGGGAGACCATTGACCCTGGGAAAACTCTATAGGTCTCATACTGAGCCTAGATATTCCAAAAATGAATTGTAGGTTATGCCTTAAACTTTGCTAATACAGATTTTTAACAAGAAACTAGAAGCCTAATTTAAAATCTTATAAAAAGGCTTGTGGCAGAATAAACTTGAAGCTCACAGGTTTATATGTTGTGCCTTTGTCATTATGATACAGTTTAATGGTTATGTCTGCCTTGACCCTGGGCAGCTTCAGCCTTTCGTTTAATAAGGGTGATTAATTTCTAGCTGTCACAAAACTGAAATGAAGTGCTCTCATGTTCTTTTGTTAAATTGGATAAACTTGAGAGTAATAAGCTGCTTCTATGAAAATATGGCAGAGTTTTTTCCAAAATAAAAGGTTACCATAGTAAAACATAAAATTGCTTTGTGGCTTGTTCCCATACAGTGTACAGGTCTGTAGTCAGGGGAAATGTAAGTATTTTCCAACACACAAAACTTGGGAAAGAGATTACAAAAGTGTTGAGAGATACACTTCATATGAACAATGGAAGAATTATCTCTGATGTCAGAAGTCATAGCTTGAGTCATTCTACCTGGAGTTAGTAATTCTATTTCAAATGAGATTTTTCTGGGAGAATTAAAACTCCAAACATAGGTTTATCTAGATATGGATATGTATGTTTATTTTACTGATGTTTTCCATAACCAGGGAAGAGGAGAGCAATGCCAAAGGAGGTATATGGAAAATGAAGGTCCCTAAAGAAAGCACGGTATGTAATACTGACTTTTTACTTAGACACTGTTTAGCTAGGAAGTTTCTTTAAACTCCATCTTCTAAAGCTGTTGTAAGGCTTTTTAGTTCTGACATCACCCAACACAACAACTAAACACTGTTTTAATGTCTATAGCCTTTTATTGTAAAACAATGAGCAAAAGTTTCTTTTTCAGGTAATTCCATGTCTCTTGATAATATATCGACAAGAGTTATCAAAAGCAAGTAAATGAAAGCTGCAGTTATACTCCATTTCCATTTGGAAACATAGTATTTTATAATCAACTTTGTTCTCAAGACTGTTTGCTTACAGGCATGCAGAGAAACATATAAAAATCTTTTCCTGATAATATCATGTGATAAATTACAGCCAGAACCTCAGTTACACTCTTCAAAAGTCCACGCAGAGAGTCCAGCACAACTTGCAGAGTTTCACTGAAATGCTGCTAAGCTCTCTGTCAGACTCAGCAGGACTATTTTTGCTTGGCATGACTCCTTGGCACCCATGTGTGGCTGTGAGTAGTGCTGGGACTTCCTGTAGCCAAACACAGACTAAAACGTTGTTTCCATTGATAACTAGTCCTGTCTCATGGCTTGCATCAGACTGTTTTGTGAGCCGGCTTAATGCACTCTGATGTGAGAAGTAGTCTCCCATTTGTTTTATTTTTAATTTGAGTGTATGGCCATGGAAGTTTTTTTGATGGGTTTAGAGGGTAAAGGAGAAGAGTGGGATCATCCCCTTTGGCAACAGTGAGTTGTCAAATCAGCTTGTGTACATCTTGTGAAACTGTAGTGCTGCTTGTTTTTTTTCTCCTCTTTTTTTTTTTTTTAATTTAAAAATGTGAAAGATAAAATCTGTTCAGGCACACCCTTGTTCTAGCCCTGCTGAAACAATTGGGTTTCTCTTTGCACCCCTAATCAAATGCATGTGAGTCACTTCTCCTGTGAACTGTCACGGTGAGGAGATTTGACCTCTTCACACGTGGTGTTTATGTGTGTAAGTGCGTCAGAAAAATGTCACAGCCTTACAGAAGGCATTAAATGCTGAAAGATGGTACTTGAAATATCAACCAAAAGTTAATTGATTTTTGCCTGTGGGCTTTTTTCGCCGTATGTGAATTGTGGCTATCGTCCCCCACGGTCCCAAGGGATCACAAAAGACTGAAATTTTCTTTTTCCTCTTATAATCCAAAGTGTGAAGACTGTCATAGATGACAAGTGGTTTGGAGAGCCTCCGTTATTGGGTGATGAATTTAGGGACTTCAGAGGCGGAATGTTGGCCTTATTGTGAAATGAATGTACTTTTTGATCTCTGAAACTATGTACTGCATGTCCCAGGTCAATTCTGAAAGGTTTAATTGAAGGTGAATGTCAGTCAGCTTTCAGTGCCTTTGTAAATAGCATAAATAATACCTTTATGCCTATTTGTCATTTCTGGCTTCATTCTTCAAATCATCACATGTGCACACAGCATCTCCTTGGCTAAGATAAACCATCTTGTGTAGATCTAACTCGAAAAGATACACTATAGCAGCTCTTGGTGAGGGTGTGGAGGGAGGAAAATGTGGGTTTTTTTTCTAAAGATACCAGTCTTTCAAGTGGTATGAAAAACTGACAAAATACTGACACTTAAATGTTGCTGCATGTGTACAGTGACACTTCTGCATGCCAATTTTTAATATGAAAACTAATACTTTTTAGATCCTCATAAACCTTATCCTGCAACTGCTTACTACTGGATGAAGTGCTTCCTCCCCTTGAGACCGTTAGGACAACTCACAGTAGTGAGCACTGTGCCTGGTAATGAGAGTGTGCGTGGTCAGTCCCATCATTCATCTTTCAGCCATTCCTCGGGCAGACGAAAGGCTTAGATCGTGTCAGAGGCTGTCACGCTGATGTCTTCAACCTGCCTTGGGAGCCATCGCATCAGATGGTTCTTCCTGTAGCACAGCTTTATATGATGCATATAAGGTGGCTTAGGAGTACTCAGAAACCACCATTAAAGCAGTTTATTAGTTTGTCGTCTTCATGGCCGCTTGCTTTTTCTTTTGACCTGGTGCATTTGATTAGTTGGGATTTTTAATAGTACTAAAACTCAGGCTAACTTCATATAGCAGAAAAGACATTCCTTAAAAGTATCATAGAATAGTTTGGGTTGGAAGGGACCTTTAAAGGTCATCTAGCCCAACCCCTCTGCAGTGAGCAGGGACATCTTCAACCAGATCAGGTTGCTCAGAGCCCCATCCAACTTGACCTTGAACGTTTCCAGGGATGGGGCATCTATCATCTCTCTGGGCAACCTGTGCCAGTGTTTCACCACCCCCATCATAAAAAATTTTTGCCTTATATATCCAGTTTGAATCTACCCTCATTTAGTTTAAAACCATTACCCCTTGTCCTATCAAGTAGTATATGAAAAAGTTATTATGGTGATACAGACAAATATTCATGTTGATGTGTTCTTTCAAAAAAAAAAAAACAAACCACAAATGTTCTGTCCCTGTAAACCCACACCTTGGAGCATTACATTAGTCCAGATGCATTTGAAGTTTCATAGGGCTTTGGCTTAGCTGATGACAAGTGTCAAAGCAATCAACAGCGTAATTGGTCTAACAGCCAAAGAAAAGTGGCAGATAGCTTTTCCCCCTGTTTTAATTCTCTAGTGAGCATTTGAATTTGTTGAAAGATGGACTTATTTCATAGTCAAGGCAAATCAGATAGATGATGTTTAAATATAAATCCATTTAATTTACTGGTAGAGTTTTCGGCTAATGTTCTTAAAGTGGTTAGTAATTCTTTTCTGTAGAAACACATGAGCACAAGCGGAGACTTATGGTCTTTTATGATGGGAAATTCGTGTGAGAAATCCACTTTCATGCTTTACATTAACTGCCGCATTCAGGATGAGTTGTGGACAGAGATACAGAGAAGGTGAACTTACTGTTAAATATTTTAAATATTTATTAGAACAATTCTGTGTAATAGTATGTATTTTCAGGATCTAAATTCTTGCTCCAACTGTATTGAAGAAATTATTTATAAGCGCATACCTACAATAAACACTTTTTTTTTGTCTAGGCAACCTCAGAAAGAGAGCAGACTCAAAACTGAGCTAGCAAACCTAACTTTTAAACTAAAAAATAAAAATACAAATGTAATTATTATTATTTTTTTTTCCTCATTAGGCTGCAGTCTGGAAAGAGCTACTGTTAGCAACCATTGGAGAGCAGTTTACAGATTGTTGTGCAGCAGGTAACTTTTAAAAATGACTAAGGCTAGCATGACAAACACTGAGTTTGAATGCAGAACATGGAAGCACTGCTAAAAATGAGGTACAGGGCTGGAAATCATATTCATACCCATTGTCATTAAGAGGAGGACAAAGTATTCTGACTGTCTTAGCCCAAGTCTCAAGCTCAGCAGCTTGCATCCCTGGGAAGCCAACAGGTTTTCTAGTTATTGAATGTCTTATCTGTTAGCCAGCATTTAAATGATTAATATTAATTCTACAATGCTAAGATTCTGGAACCCCAAATTATGCTTCTATACTAGGTTGATTGTACCATCACTATTGGAAGCAACTAAATTAGATAAAGTAGATAGATGCCCCTATTGGCCCTCATGGTCCTTTCTGGTTATCCTGACAGGGTCAGGAGTTGTTGGGGAAGCACTAGTGTAGACCTGAAGCAGAGGGAAGCTGCGTGATTTGCCCGTGGTGACGTTAAAAGCCTGGAACAGGGCCATAGGACAAACCTGGCTCTCCTGAATCCCAGGTTAGCACTCTACCCAGAAGCAGTATTTTCATTATTGCTTAAAAATACTGCTTAGGTCAAAGTGATCTTTAGTATAATTGAATTTACATAAATATTCTTAAAATACCTTGTTGGTTTACTGGAAAACAGGCATTAATCATCCAGAAGCTCACATGTGATTTTGGTTAGAGGTAATCATTTAATGAAGTCGCTTTCAGAATAAATATGTTCTCTACGCTTGCAAGCTTGCTGGTTTCATTTGGAAATGGACTCCAGGAAGGGCCTGTGAATGCTGGCTGGCTTTAGACAGATCGTCAGGTGCTGCTACTTAGTCATGAAAAGTGAGTAGGAGTCTGTGGCCATTTAATTCGTTAAGGTTCGGTTGCAGAACTGCTTGTTGTTTCTGGGTAAAGCAAACGACAATCCTGCTGATCCATTGGCCTAAAGGGAAGGAGTACTGGGAAACCGGTTATTTAACTTTTCGGTTTAACTTTCTCCATCACTTCTTTTGACCATATTGACCCTCTTCTAAATGTGAATATCTGATTAAACTGGCTGTTGCAGTGATGGTGAATATCCTGTTAGGAGTGTTCCTTCACTGCTTTATTGTTTCAGAGAAAATAATTGAATTTCTTGGGCTTGCAGAGCAGTTCAGCAAAAACCTTTCCAACAGTTTCTCTTAAACCTAGCTAGTACGGTAGAGCAGGCTACTGCAGTAGCCTGCTGCTGGTATATTCACCTTGGTGGCTTTGTTTTTCCTACGAAAGTTTTGTTGAATGAGTTTCTCAGTGTATTTTTCTCATTGCCTTCCTGACTTCCAGAATCATAAGAACAGAATACAAGCCTCAAATCCTTGAGCTGCAAAAGACATTTCTGATAGCTGCTTTTTTTAAATCGATAATATCCATAATGGAGTTGGTAACAAGAAAGGAGTGTTCCTGCCCTTTGTACTGATACGGTGGATTGAGGTCAGTTTAAGCAAATACAGGACGTTTTGCTGCCTACGGAGGTAGTTTTTCCCCTTGGCCATGTGCTCTTGACATCACTTTTGCATTATCATTCCTGACCCCTTCCTTGGGATGCACGGTGCAGCTGTGCTGTGGAGGTTGCTGCTGGAGGCAGCCACTGCTCTCAGACACGATGTGGCCTTAGGCTGAGCTGTCCATGAAGCTGCATCCTGAGAATTTCACACCAAAAAGGGCTTCTTCAGTGAAGCACAGAGTTACCAACAGTGGCAGCAGCAGCTTGACTGGGGCTTTAGTAATTTTTTTCCTTTTTATTTTTCTGTTGCTGCCTTGACAAAATGAAAAAGAGAGCAAAGTCTGGAAAAGCTGATCTCCACCAGGTACTGTTCCTGGGATTCTAGTTGTTTCAGCCTCACCCCTCCCTTTTTGCTTATAGACATTACCGTAGGTAAATTGCCTTTAGTAGTTTATATTGCTACCCTCACTGAAGGGAGTCTTGTGATTCCCTTCTAATCAAGGATAAGAGTGCTAATAACAAAGATGAATAATGCTACGGCACTTTATTCAAACCACTATGAGGTAGTATTTCCAATAGCTTCTGTAAATACAGTGTTTGTTTCTTTCCAGTAACTATTTTGTCTGGTTTGAACATTGGTATTCTCCTCACTGGAGATTGCTTTCTTTCATTTCTTCAGTTTGTTCAGCTTTTGGACACTGTTTCATAATCCTTAAGTATCAAATGAGACATGTTTCACTTCTAAAGTATTCCTTAATGATGCTTCCTTTTCTGTGCAGATGATGAAGTAATAGGGGTTAGCGTCAGCGTTCGTGACCGTGAAGATGTTGTGCAAGTCTGGAACGTGAATGCCTCTTTAGCAAGTGAGGCAAAAGTTTTAGAAAAGATACATAAACTTCTGCCACACACATCTTTTAAAGCGGTCTTTTATAAATGTAAGTATTTTGTACTGATGATTTCTACCTTCATTAGAGAAACAAGATGCTGGTAGGGTATTTCCATGGGAATATGTCTGATTCATCATTAATCATTTGGAAACATAGCATCTCTCATTGTGTTAAAATTATTGCTTCAAAAATGCACTTTTTTGTCTCTTCCATGTAAATTAGCTGCCATTCAAAATATAAGATATCTTTAATTTTAGAATATATTTATGTTTATATAATATGTTTATATATTTATATATATAAACATATGTTTAATATGCCTGATTCCTAAAGCGAGTGAGACAAATCTTTTGATAACTCTGAAGACTGCATACTTTTCAATTTAGGTATTCATTTAGAGGAACCATTTACAATCAGAATTTTAAGGAATCTCTTATCTTAGGCTCTATATAAATGTTTTATCAGAATAGTGTATTCGCAAAGATCACTTGTTGGCATGTTGTATCTTCCTTGACCACTTACATATTGTCTCCTCTTTTCATCTTTTCAACTCCTCAGCAAAGTTTCTATGTTCCTTTATTCTCTTTTTCCTTCTCTCTTCTTTAGCACACAGAGAGCATCATGCTTTTGAAGGCCGGCGGGGAAAACATTAAGTGCCAAGCTTGTTTGCTGTTATTTGATGTTTTGAGGTGGTCTGGACAAGGAGAAGGATGGTGGAAGCCCTACAGAAGCACTGCACACAGTGGCCCTTTGAGTTTCTAACATTTCAAACTGGGAAAGTGAGGAGAAGCAGGTGCCTTCACTGCTAAACGTGCAGTTCATTACTTCTGGTTTGGTTGGGGTTTTTTAACTTTCCATTGTTTCTTTAAAAAGATTTTTTTTTTCCAATCAGATTATATTTGTTCCTATTTCATTAAGATAGAAGGCTTTAATTTCTTCTGAACTGTACTTAGTTAAATGCAAACGTGCACAGAGATGGTACGCTGCTTTTCCTGGATGTGCTGTACGCAGAGGAATACTGGCTTGGTGAAATGTGTTTTCAATTTTCATTTTAAAACATTCCTATCGTGTTAAGATTTACTCACTGGTTTTGTCCCAGGAGAGAAAGAAATTGCACGGCCTTTATTCTAATATTCGATGTAATCTGGTCCTGCACTGACAACAGCACACGTACTGTAGAAGTAAATAGTGAGGCGTTCGCTGAGCAAGTGACTTAAGAGAACACGTTTATATTGGGACTAGCCCTGCGTGGGATGATGTTAATGAGTGTTTTAATTGTAGTGATTTCAGAAGAGCCCCTGTTCAGACTAGAGTGAGAGATCTTTCAGTAGGAAACCCTGCAAATTCCACATCTCCCTTATTTGAGGGGGAATGGGTTTTTATAATGTTTGTATATAGTGTGCTTTCTTGTGATATTTTTCTGTACATTCATGGTAGTATCATGAATCATTTCTAATGCATTAGACTAACTGGATCCATCCCTCACACTGCTGTGAGTATTTTAGGGCCATGCCTGCAGCCACAAAGGCCAGTATCGGAACTCAGAACTGCTGTTGACTTCAGGGCAAAGGAAGAGATCCCGTTGGACGTGGTTTCAAGCCATTATGACTTCCTAAGTGATGTTTTTAAAAAACAAACCAAACCAAAACCAACCAAAAAACCCACCAGAAAAGATGGATTTTGTGTTGCAGCATGAATGTGAATACAGAACATGTTAATCTTTAATTATTTGTCTACATTAATTATTTGAGGTGTTGGTTTGTTTTAATATACTACCAAAGATTACTGTAGATCCTTTGAAAAGAAGCTGCAAGGTAGAGATGAACGTTCACTCCACTGAGCATTACTTAATTTTTAAGAGGTTTTTGTTTGGCAATTGTTCAAGTTGCACTGACTTCCACATTTTTAGTATATTAAGAGGCAGCCATTAAAAAAATAAATTTTAAAATAAGAATCACACATTTGAGATTTTTTTTAGTAACTTCACCTGTGTTTATGAATTAAAACTGTGCGGTTAATGAGTATTATTAATTAAACAAATTTTCTAAAATCCACATGTCTTGCTGCTGTAGTTACTTTCTGAGATTAAATGTTACCGGATCTACTTTTTTAAACTTACGTGTTTTTCAGTAAAACTTACTCTCTTAGAAGCTATCTATGTTTTGTTCATGGATTAAAATTATTTTTAAATGGATTTTTTTGTTAAGTCAGAAAGGAGAACGAAAATTTATTAGTAGTATCTCTTGTATGTATTCACCTAATATTAGAGTTATTTTTGAGTTGCAGTTAAATTGAGATTTCCAAATAAAAGTATAGAGACTGTTACCAGTTTAATTATATGTCATTTTTCCATCCACACTATTGCAGTGACGGTGTATGAAATATCCTGGCTAGCCTTAGATTAATTTTTACCACTGTGACATTCCATGATACATCTAACGCTGCAATTATTTCTTTTTATAATGTTACTCCTTTTGAATTAGCTCCAAATTGTCTGAGATCTGTTTAAAAAAAAATACATAAAAAATTATATTTAATTGCCAACAGTGTCGAAATCCAGTGTAGTTTCTCTTGTCGGTACATTGTCACCCATCGACTCCCACGCAGGGATACCCAACCTCCTTGAGAAATAAGGGGAAGTAGGAAGGTGCTTTCCCTGCAAGGTGACATGACCTTGTAGCTGTGACCCTCCTTTTTATCTGCAATGAGTGGGGTTCCCCTTTTTCCAGGGAATGGGAAGAGGGGCAGCCTCAGGACATCAGTTACCAGGGAAGTGCTAGCTGATATTTGCAGGTGCGATATGGGTACCAACAGCTTCCAGGCCTGACCGAGTCACAAAGTGACCTCAGAGAAGTGAGGGGCAGAAAACTTTGAGAAAAACGTTTTCCACAGCTTGATGAGCAAGATTTCTCACTTGAAATCCTTTCCTGTCTTTGGAGGAAATGTGACTGGAATACTAATGGGGAATTAATCACATACCTCACCCTTCGCTTACTTTTACTTTTGGAAACAAGCCAGAGCCTCTTACCTCTCCTCCAGGTTCATGTTGTGCTCGGATGTTGACTTCAGCAGAGTTGCATCTGCTGGCAGAAGTAGCCGATCTGGTGATGTCATTGGAACTTGCCAATTTAAGATATTACTTTTTTCATCCTATTGAAGGATATTATTTTTGTGTAGTTGCCTTGCATGGCATTTTTATATTAAAGAAGTCTTTGCTTCAATGCTCAATAGAGGTTGAGAGAGACTTATCCTAGCCATAGGATAGGATAGGATGGCTGCATATTGACCACCAAAGTCCACATTATGAACTGCTATCAATTTTTCATTGTTCTAAATCCCTAGTCTATAAAACTAGAACTTTTTCTGTGTGGCTTAATTCTGATTATAATTGTTATTATTACTTAGAATCAGATTTGATTAATATCTTCTGACTAAAATGCAGCATATCGTATGCCACAATCCAAAATTGGGCTTCAATAAAAATGGGTAATGCAAGTTTACAGGAACATGACAAATTGCATATTGGAATTTTGCAACTGTTAATTTAAAGACTTTGTAGAATTTTTGAACTGTCCTTTCATCCCCACTGATCTCTGTAGCACAGATGTATTTATACCAAATGATGTTGAACAGTTAATTGTTTTAGTCTTTTAAATGTTTATTATTTTCACCTGCAGATCTGCTTTATTGAACTTGATTAAATGAACCCCCTGCTACTTCAAAATAATCTAAATTGTTTAAATGGATATCAAAGAAGAGCCTACAACTTCCTCTCAAAACGAGTTTCTGCTGGTGTTTCAACACAGAATTAAAATGTTTAACTTCCATGGTGACAGACAATAAAGAAACTCTGGATTGCTGCATTAGTGGAATTAAAGAAACCTGCTTCTCTCTTGGGGTGGCAACAAGCCCTGGGTGATACCAGCCCACGCTGGGACAGGGCCGTTGGGCTTTATCTGGTGTCACATGAAGCTTTTCACCTAGCTGGAGCACTTGTTGTCTTTACCTGGGCTGTTTTTATGAGTTTTGTAGGAACTTCATATCCTTGATACACCTGTTCTGGCACCCAGGTCTGCCATGTGTGGAGTTACTGTCGCGTGGGGATTGTCCTCTGTTCTGGGAAGCCAGGTGAGATGAGAAGTAGGGGGACGTCTCTGGCAGGCTTTAGGAATGTTTGTAGCACCTTGTAAAAGGTGCTTGCAGCATCTTCCTGGGAAAGGCTTTGTTGCTGTGTGGTGTTAAGTGGAGGGTGGTGGAGAGCTGCTGGCCTCTTACACGGGCACGGGCACAGACCGTGCACAGGGACACAGGGATGCAGCACCTGGAGCACCAGCCCCAGGGGAAGGAGAAGTCACAGGCTGGGCTGGGCTGGGCTGGGCTGGGCTGGAGCAGCCAGGACAAATGGAGCCAGCTGAGAAGCAGTAAGAGGAATAGCTTTTTGCTGCAAAGCATTACACTTGTGCTGGTTTGCACTTTCCCAGGGCTGGAGATGGCCACTGGCAGCAGGTGGGGGCTGAGCTCTGATTGTTCACCCCAACCTTGGGGGTATCTCTAATAGCTCTGTGTGGCTCCCCAGGCTGTGAGACAACTGCTGCTGAAGGGATTAATTGGGAATTTCACTTAACAGGGATGAAGGGCTGTCTTCTGGGGCTGGCTAATTAACAGGATTCTACTCTGGTAATTAAATAGCAGTTTGTTAAACACAACTTAGTTGATGAAATCTGTGGAAAACATAACAATTAGCAGGCAAGGAATGGCAACTTTGCCTCAAAAGCTTATCTCCAACTGGTTGCTGATGTGGTTTTAACCTTTCATTCTCTGGCAAAGAGATTCTCTTAATTTATTTGGTTTTGCTGCTGTCATTGGACAGCTTGATCTCTCTCTGCTATTGCAGCAGTTGGTTCCTCTAGGGCTTCATCTCAGCTGCAGGGGCTTGAGATGTCCCGCTTCACTTGTTGGTTTTTCAGAAGACTCTCTGGTGCTGCCTTCTTAAAAGCCAGCGTTGGAGGACAGGAGTGTTGGCCATCCAGAGAATAAATCCTTTGCCCTCCTGCAGCAGCGGTGCTGGGGCTGCCAGCTCAGCCACATGTGCCTTTGCACAACCCAGTCATGCCTCTCCTGCAGGAAGGAGGGTTTCCACTGCAGTTACTCCACACGCAGCAGCATCTCCCTCTGCTCTGAGCTACGTGTGTCGGGGAGATGGCGCAAAGCGAGTGGGGTTTCCTCACCAGGAACTCGCACCGTTCACGTGCCTTCAAATGAGCTGCAGCTGCATGTGAAGACTTCTCTCTGCTGGGCCCTCTGACTTTGTAATGTCAGTTTTCTTTTTAACTGCCTTTGCGAAGTGATCCTGGAAATGAGAGACGTACCAGAATTAATTATTTTGGTCTGTGGCCTATTTGCACCGTGGAGATATTTGCGGAGTTTTGTTTTGGAGAGTAGAGGTGAAGAAGAGCACGGGGGGAGTAGGAGCTGGAACAAGCAGAGGAGAAGGTGCTTTTACATCGTGTGATGCACCCTAGTGATGCCGCTTGATTGCTGTGGAGGAGTGCATCAAAGCATCTTCGATTTAAAGCTGCTACAGGTTTTTTGTGTGCTTTTATTTTAGTGTGGCAGGTTCAGGCCAGGTTGGCACGCTCTCCTCGGTAGTAAT